TATGCGTGGTTAATGGCTGTTTAAACTGAAACTGAATCTTTATAAAAAGACAAACGTTCCACGATTTACATGTGGGCTGAATACTGCCAGGTTTCCCAGACCAAGACAGGTGAATTTGCTTGGGGAATGCACAATCGGAGCCTTTGGCTAACCAAAGCCTGACCCGCCAGGCAGCGGGGCGATGTGGAAACCGCGGTCTATTGGGGGCCGGTTTCCAGTTCATCGGATCACACGCCCTTCGGACAGGGTCAAACATCCAGGGTGCCCAATCGAGCCGGTGAACACTTCCACAACCGAAAACGTGTGTGCGTGTGTGATTCGTACGCCTCCTCTTGGTTCGTTTGGAATCAGGGTTTTGGCCAACTCCCCTAGGTGAACTACCAACTGGTCCACCAACCCGGTTATAGCCCTGGATGTCAGCTTTTCGTCATCTCACTTTAGTGAAAAAACACCTCCGCCACGAAAAGGTAATGAGTAGGACTTCCTCAGCAGAGGCTATTCGAGACACTTTGTCGTATGGGAGCATTTCGCGAGATGCAAGAGTAGGGTAACCAGCCGCAACTCTAGACACCGACTGAGGATTTCGGTGGTTTTGATATTAATGACTAGCCAATGGTGGCCGTAATGATGTAGGGTGTGCAAATTGAGTTCGGTGGTAAAATAATTGGCCCCTTAACATTGCAAAGTGCTAATATGTTTCTTTCATGAACTTGTGTTTGGAAGCTCCCGACAGTTTGCAAGGTAACCATATTCACTGGGAAATCACGAACCTCATTTCGCTTTTTTATTGTAATACACTCCTTACTGTCTATGTTTGATATAAGTTTTTTTCCTCAATAACCGCAGAATAACATGTTCATTATTCCCCGTAATTTTCCAATAATTTGAATGTGCCACCCTTTTCCGCTATCCCCACAGAAACACTGGTCAAATGCTGTGATCTGTCACAGTTGTGGTATCGTGAATTCTTCCTGGAAATTACCAATGGTGCGTGTATTCAATTCCCCATTGAAATGAGCCTACCGTGGATTTTTACCGACCATATCCTGGAGACCGAACATCCTGGTTTCATTGAATACACTCTCTATCCGCTAGACTTGTACAACGATGCAGCTGATTGTGCACTGAATAGGTTCAGACGACGTTTTCTATATGAGGAAATCGAGGCAGAAGCCAATCTCGTGTTCGATCAACTGGTCTACAAACTCAGCGATCAGGTGTTCCGACATTACAAACGGTATGCAGCATCGATCTTGCTAGACAAACGTTTCCGAGCCGAGGCACAACGTGCTCATTGGCGGGAAGCCTATCCACCACCGAACCGATATGCCGCAGCGCTATTGCGTCAACGTCACGTGCAACTACTCGGTCGTACCGTGGACATCAGTCGATTGATTTCGCAACGCATGAACACTTCCATTTTCAAATCATTAGAGGTTGCAATTGCTCGCTTCCAAAGCTCAGATCTGACTGGGATCATGGTGAGTGAGGCGTTTCCGAATTGAGAACTGTTGTACCCCCATCTAACTGAACTGCTTGTTACGTTTTCTAAACTGGATATTAGTCGTGCTCACTTTGAGGATAAGTAAACTTCAGCTGGATCTCTTCTGTGCTATAAACACGGTGGCTTTCGATGTATGCATTTTGATGGTACACGGTTTTGATCAAGCGGTTTAAGTCGCTGTCCCTGGCGTGGTTTTGGCTGCTACGGTCCGGGGGCTAGAACCCTGTCGCCTCCATTCGACTCTAGCGGTAGACAGCCTTACCGTTGTCTGGCTCAATACCACACCCAACGTCGCATTCACACCTTGCCGTCACCATCAACTATGAAGTTCCGGTTGGTGATTACATGTGATTAAATGAGAAGTGGCGGTTCCAATCCGGGCGATTGCTGCAAAAATTCTGTTCAATAAACACTCACTCCCCGTTAGAACTGTGTTCTGGCACCTTGAGTTAACCGACGATAACTATCTGTCCATCTATGATACGAAGTTAATTTTATGATTTACTACCTGTGTCTTGATCGTAAATTATGAGGAGTGACATGTCTGCATAAGGTTTCGACCCGTTAGTTTTTCCAGCCGGCCGTCCTAATCAGAGGTTACGCGTAGTCCTGTAGTTTCATTCCATTCTGGGCCAGTTATGTTAAACTTGATTAGCGTTCAATCAGTGCTTGAACTTTATCTGAATGATTTGTCGCACAATACAGCTCCATAATTAAGAGTTTATGCGTCGTTAAAAAAAGTGTCTTTTTACTTCCTTTTTTATTTATTGAATATGCAAACGTACAGTCAGCTTTCAGGAAGGGGGCTGCGGCCATATAAAGGCTACCTGGGGAAATAAAGAAATCGTTCATTGCAGTGGTTGGTTTTAGATAATTAAGAAATTGGTTACAACCAATATACATCAAACACTCTCCAGCTGAAGTGTAGCATAGTTGTCCGGGGGCCATATTGTGTTTCTCTCGAATAATTCTTGTACCTTGCCCTCCGACACCTAATAATAATCTTACAGATGAAGATTAAGTAAATGAAATTAGCCTCTTGTCTCCCATATGTGACCCGTTCACTCTGATGTACAGATACTATGAAAATAAGATTAACTTGTTTGAATTTCAAACGAACCATTATCCGAACACAAAAATCCTTAGTCAACATATACTGACGAGATCGGAAAACCTTCAGCTTGTTGTACAAATTTTTTCGGTCAAGTCAGACTTTCGAAATCAACTGTGAATTATACAGTCTCGTCTGGCATCTTCACACAACCGGAAGATCGGGCGACATAATTGCCCTCTCCTGATCGAAAATCCGGGTTACTTAAACTGATTTCAAGTCAAGTGATTGCTTTGTCGACTCCCAAGAGATGCATTTTTCGCGCTTGACTGAATGACATATTTCATCGTCGAGTGAAATTTTAAATGAAAGAGCAAATAAAAATCAATATAAAGTACGTAGGTTCGGGAAGGAAAAAATCTAGTTAGATGTGCACTATCGTAAAAGTTCGGTGTTTGGTGAGGCCTGCCAGGCCAAACAACTCGCTAAATAAAGAATACCAGTCTGACGGTAAGTAGTTTGGCGAGTATGTAAAAGCCTGCACGTTTTTCGCGTTGCTGAAATATATAGTCATTCACTTAATACAGAATGAAGCGAGTGAGTGTTGTCGGACAGAATGTAGCGCCATACATTGTTGTAGGAATTGAAGAATCGTCCTTCCCGATAAACGTGACATAGTTGTGGATTGTCTTATGTTATTTACGATCGATCCGGTAGTTCTCACGGCGTAAACCGGAAACAATACGGAGGATCAGTATCGTAAACTGGATAAAGCTGTAGCCTGTGCAACGTCAGTGCTAATGTCCTCATATTGACACAAGAACACATCCTCCGTTACTCTCATACAACAAAGATTCAGGTTGTGAAGCTTTCCAACCGAGCCATAACCCTAGAGGCTAGTGCTGAGATGAGCGAGGGCCCATACTCAAAGCAAGCTTGCAAAGATGGTTTGTGTGATATCGTGCACATTCCAAACGAGAAACGGTCAGATCAGCGACCCGGTGACCGAATGAATGGTATGGTTCGACTTATGAGGTCCTGGGCTCGATCCCCACTTGGGTCGATGGATTCGCACTGCTAATGAGACCCTACCAGATTGAAACTGCTGTCCAGTGCTTCCCAGCTTTTCAGCTCATGCTTCATTCACGTGACGAATTCATCATATAAACAAATAAAGGGCTCCGTTACTTTCATATAATAAAAACAAAGTCACCGTATTTTTAAAAAGAGCTTTGCTATTGCGAGAAAACCAAGTAAAATAAAGTAATAAAGTAATAAATCAACATTTTGAACTGTAGAGACGCATCGATCACCAAAGCGCAACTCAGGGTACTTTTCATCTATTTCTGCTGGGCACTTACGCTTCGAAACCGAGGCCAGAATATCACCATACATTTAGAAGCATTAGTCGATAGTGAAGAAAAACCGATTACTCCGAAGTAGACTGTGTAGGAGATTGGAGTGCACTGCGAATTCATTAATATCGTCTGTTTTGATTGTGTGGTCTCGGATATGAAAAGAAAACAAGAAAGCCGGGTAAAACGAACTAGATTACAGAGAGGTTGATTGGGATCTGTCCGTAAAGTAGTTTTTGACCCATCTTAGTCGCGGTACGGATAGTCCAGCTGCTTGTAGCCAAATGAGTCGCACGAACTTGGTAATTTCTGTCATTATGGAAATACACACGAAACATCGTTCCACGGAGATCGACAGTGAGCAAAATTTAGTGAATAAATAGATGAACAATGGCGTTTCGAAGTAGATCATTTGCACCGGTGCACAAACTGGTTGTTATCGTAAAAATCGATACTAGATAAGATATGTTTTTCTAACAGGTTAAGTAAAATAAATGTACAAGCAATGAACCTTAATTGTTAACTTCTGTTTCAGGGATGCCGCTGATGCACGCAATTCACAAACCGCCAGCTATTCGCCTTTTTGCGCACACACGTTGAACTGCGAAGTGAGCAGACTGACTAGGCCAAACGCACAATCAACCCGCTTGTGAAGTCCATTGAACCCAGGCGCTTTGTAGATTGAGGGTTTGGAAGTACTGTGACCGTTTGAATGGATAATACGAATAGATACATATTGCTAACCAATGCCGTTGTGCAATAAAAGAACAACAGATCAGTTTGACAATACCCATACTTTTCAATTGTGTTATCAATACTTCGCTCCCGGAACGGAGTATTCGCACATGGCTGTTACTCATTATCGGTCTCTAGTATGATATCCACATTCGACAAGATCATCCGCATTTCCGAAACAATTTATATAATACCACTACATGATTCATTACAGAAAGGCCATAAGTCAGACTTCGACAAAACACGCATTAAGCAAGATTACCGGAATATCTCGTTTACTAATCTCAGTGAACCTGGACTAAACAAGACTGAGTTTGGACGCTAAATTGTCATTTATTTAGATGAGCCTTGTTTATTTTTTGCAGATTGTACCAATTTGGAGATAAGTCTGACCTGACAACACTTGCTTGCTGCATGAGGTCAGACATCTAATTCATTAATTTATGCTATGCCCATCACAATGAGAATCCATTTTAACTGTATGTAGTGGATTGCCTATCCCATTGCCCTGCGAACTATACAAGATGGATTCTCGCGGCTGCAGATCCAATAATGTTCGGAAAGGTAAATGAATAGAGGCCAGGCAAAGCTCAATTTCACAAGGCCTGCTGGTTGGGTACCTCTTGGCTTCCTTTGACTAACCTATTTCGCCCCTGGACAGGTCACTCCAACAAATAAACACATTGAGGAGGTAAAAGTGTTACGCTAGATGCATATGGATGCGGCTTGCCTGGAGTTTTTATCCAGATGAGGAAGTCTTTGTACTTCGTTGAACAGCTGCTGTTTGGCCAATTTGAGTAGCCCCCGGCCAATAACGTTCTGTCCTGTCCACGTTTCACCTATCTCACCGAATACGCAGGCTAAGGGCCAATCTCAAGTGGTAGACCGACAATCGACGTGTCAGCGAATAAAACAGTAAACCTAAAGCCCTTGTGTGACAGGTCTATAGAAGCTCCAATACTGTGCTTCGGGCACGCTCCCGCTTTGTGTCTGCACCCCGGCCTCGGGATTTCTCTTGGTGTCAAAACTGTGCAAGCGGTCGACCTTCATAGACTACATTGGTCGGGGTAGGGATTAACCATGTCACGAAATAAACTGCCTCAAAGTGCCGTTTTTGCGGAGGCAGGTAATGTAGTCGGCTCAAGAAAGTCAAAGGTGATCACAATAGGACTTGGGATGAATGTATTGACCAATTGACTTTTCTATCATACACCTTAGTGTGATAAACAGCAGTCACGAGGATTTACTGTTCAATAATGGAAGCCGGCAACTTAAACCCCGGGACCTGGAGTGGCGAACCACATAAAGCCCTGCTAGGTTAGGCGTGGCATGGAGTGTGCAGGTCATGTCAGTCTTCGTGGTGGAGGGCCTCAGGATCAGTGTGATTTCTGGTTAGATACACTGAGTGATATAGCTGAATATCGTCAACAATAACCCTAGTGCATCTGCTCAAGTATTTCGAAACTGTCGTCTACCTGAATCCCCTTGCTTTCACTGTGAATCTACTTCCACCATTCTAATTCTTCCCTCTACTCCCTTGCCCAAGTGCGCATCTAAAACCGTGGCCTTGAAGTGCAAGGTTAATGGCTTTGAGAACAACAGCGTGGCGAACAAGCTGGTTTTCAATTATTCGTAATCATGCCATTACATAACATTTTGTATGACCAACAACGAACAAATAGGGACTGAAAGATTCGAGTTCTAATGGTTCATCTATAGTTCCAATCATGTGTGCAATCACTTAAACTTTTGACTCTGTGATCCATTTCACACACATACGCATACATATATATGTATACGTATTTAATGTTATGTAGTGGCATGATTACAAACAACTGAGGGCGAGCTTGTTCGCCACGCTGTTGTTCTCACTGTGTTCTGTGAGAATAACGAAACGTTAATGGCTTTCTTATCCGAAATAAAACTTAACTCTGCCATGGTAGCAGCGATTGATCATGGTTTGTTCGGCTTCGGGAATTGCACTTTACTGTCTCAAAAGATCCGAGTTCATTTTGGGAATCTGACAATATCAAAAAGTTCACTTGGTTGCACACGTGTTGGAGTGACTGAAGTGAGCCAGGCGGGATTAAGTGCTTGCACAAATTTCTTCTGGGCGCACAAGTGGGGAGGGGGTTGTGAATCCGAACACTTACGGCTTCGGCCGTGGCTAAGATTCGATGCTTCACTGCTCTCGATTGCCTACACCGAACCTTGTAAATCGATCGAAACGCGCACTTGCCACATCCACGTACTGTCTTTGTCCAGAGTGGCTACCCCGATTAATTTGTCGATATGGCAATGCTAAGAAATGAGGATCGGCCTAAGGAAATAGGAGCAGCGAAGAAATCTGTCCATGTGCATCTGCCATTTAAGGGGAGATACGGAGACGAAAATCGTTCACAGAAAGCTCACAAGTGCAGTAAGCACAACATTTTACGCTGCACAATTAAAACCTGTGTTCACATCTACACCGATTATGTGTTTCCAACTGAAGGACAGAGTGCCAGACTCTGCAGCCTCATTCTGTGTATACTCATTCACCTGTTCCTGTGGAACTGGGTACATTGGCCGCACGACCAGGCGCTTATCCCAACGCGTTCGCGAACACCACCCGACTTGGCTGAGGACTGGAACAATTAAGACAATTACAAGTGCGGTGTGTTCGCACCTCGTTGAGTCAAATCACTCGGTGGATGTGGCAAGCGCGCGTTTCGATCGATTTACAAGGTTCGGTGTAGGCAATCGAGAGCAGTGAAGCATTGAATCTTAGCCACGGCCGAGGCCGTAAGTATTCGGATTCACAGCCCACCCACCCCCCTTATGCGCCCAGAATAAATTTGTGCAAGCACTTAATCCCGCCTGGCTCACTTCAGCCACTCTAACACATGTGCAATCAAGTGAACTTTTTGACACTGTGATCAATTCCACACAATTGGACAATATGTCGGGAAAATATTTGTGCACTGGAGGCGGGTAATACTTCTCTGTTTCCTCGATCACACCACATGTATCTACATGGAAATCCTCGGTTCTTGAGAGTGATGATCTATATAGTCCACATGCGGCTGTCTTTTGGCCTCATCGGAAATCTGTCTCTCTTTTGTACTGTTGGAACTGTGGAATGTAGTTGAGTGACGAGCAATACACACGTGTTCCATCAACGCTGGATGCACATGAAATATTGATCATCCGTTCCGGCTCAAGTGCAGCTCACATATTGAGTTCCTCTTGTCATTCAAAAAAAAAATGGAAGTGGAAGAATATTTGTAATGATCAACAAAAGTTGTTTCGTCGTCCTCGTCAGGGCCCGTTTACAGTGCCCATTAATTTTGTGTCCCTGTCCCGGCTTGAGCATCAATACAAAGACCCTTGTGTCTGTAGACTGAGATGGAATTACAAAATAAATGTTCGGTTAGGGAGATGCTTTAAAACTGCAAGTTGTTCAGATTATTTTGTGCGTATAACGCCACGAATTCGTGTAATATATTTTACACAGTCGTGGATACCAAAATTGTTTGGCGTTTTCTGAAACTCTGGGTCGTGGAGGTTTTGTATCTTCTGTGAGAGTAAAATCTTCATTTGCCGTAAAATGACATCTGGAAGTAATTGTAAAAATGAGTTTTAAACCCACCGGACTAATTGATTCATGCATGTACCCTTTTTATATTCGATAATTCTGCAAATGTTCTCTGATTAGCTTTAATTCTGAGTGTTGGGCTCATAGCATCGATCCAACAGTGTTTACTTTACTCACATCGCCTAATTAAGTAGTATTCTACGGTCTTTTTATTTTCTTTGAAACAGCCCTGTCCGATTTATTCCTACGCATCATTAGCACCAGTTTAGCGGACAATCATACTAAACTGTGTGACATTACTGGTTATTGCTCGAAATCAGGATACTGTTTTTTTAGTTTGTCAACTGAATTGTTTCATTTCGATCAACGACGGTGTTGCGTTTTACGCCGATGGTCTAGCATTTACAGTCTAGGTCACGGCAGCCACCAATCGTGTTCGTCTGTGAAAACGACAGTGCGGCGAGTCGGCAATTTATTGACCACAAATCATTTGCCTGCAAAATGACTGGGTAACACGGGTTTGTCATCAGCTTGCTAAAACTGAACAGCTGATGTCAGCCCCAAAACTGGACAGTTTCCTGTCTGAGTGTCTGGAACTGTGAGCTGTTCCCACGATCTGGGTTAACAGCGCCAAAACCCAAAAATGCGGATGGTAACTGTCAATCCCGTGGGTTTTTGTGTATATGTTTACATCTACTAATGCTGTTCCGAATTGCTGTCGAAAACGTTGAGTTATCAGACACACTCTGCGCGTAAATACACAGGCCCTGGCTGGATATGGCAGTACCTGGTTTGTCCTCATCAGTTTTGGGGGTTTGTGTATTTTAAATTGCTGTGGTCGCTGCGAACAGCGTGATTCAAGTCCACGAATGATCGTTCATCTGCAATCTGGTTTTGGGTTGTTTTGATGACTTCAACCGTACTTTCACTCGCCGTCACATTTTGTGACAGAATGGATTCTTGTTTCAACTACGAGATTTAATCGTAGACCTACTTTTTATCAACTCAAAGTTTTCCGAAACACGTCGTTGTGCGAGTACCAGTTGAAATGGAGACAGAATGTCACTTCTTCTATAAGCTTTATTGCAATAGATTCGTTTATTTCTGTCTCTTCCCCTTCTTTTCATCCCCGTCCGCAGGAGTTGGAAGCAATCATAGATTGCAATCGATTATGTCATCGCATGCTGTCCGAACATCTGGATTTGGATAACTTTGATGCATTACTGCGCGAGGCCAACAACTTGGTCACTTCACCACTAGGAAAGATTACTGTGCACGTATTCTGGGAGTTGACCTATGATCTAGTCAAAAATTATTGTTACAACGATGCCACAAATCGGTAGGTTTTGTGCCGACGCAGTTCTGATCATCATGTTTTATTGTACTTGATACTAAGCACAAAGTATGATTCATATGTCTGATATAGCGTAAGCTGACAACATTGTACGGTCTAGTGAAGATCCAGATAAGTTGCGAGCTGTTCTGGATAGTTTCGGTGTCTGTTAAGCTGTGTTTGGCACGTTTTCTGCAAAACGCTGTCATAGTTTTGGGTTCATCCAACTCCCATCTGAGAGATAGTTAACAAAAATTTCACTAATCAAGCTGTTTTATCTCTCCTCACGGATGAAATTGTCGCATACATATAGTAGGCTTGATTCGCGTCGGCAAATCGACGGCACTTTTGACATCTCCCTGATATCTCGTTTGCCTTGAAGGGTCTAGTGTATGCCGCAGTAATCTGTTTGACGCTACTATCTAGGGGAAAGAGTGGGTGGAAAGGGAACGTAGGTTATCAATGTTGGACCATCAACTATTATGCTTTGGTATGTGGATTTAAAAGCAGTGGCCAGTAGACTTCCTGCCAGATTCCATTTTATTCCCTAGTTAGGGTCTTCGAAGCTAGCCGAATTAACGATTTTGGCAACTCAGTGTTATAAACAGTGATATTTGTGCATCCATTCCCTTTCTACCCTGATCTATTCTCACTCCCGTTGATCGCTTTTTCTCTCAAACCTGGTTTTCAGGTTTTATTCCTTCTCATTGTTCAATAAAATAAAACAAGCGAAAAATGGTCATTGGAACCAGCTGATAAAAACTGCTAGGTTCATTCGAGTCCCAACACACTGTCCTTTGAAATAGTTCAATTACCCGCAATTTTTTGACGATTGATAGCCGATTATCACTTCAGTAGTGTGGTGCTGCTCGTATTACATGTAGGTGCGGTAATTAATCAGTGCACATTGAAACAGTTTTTGATTGCTCACGATATCACGGAACGACCGCCGTGGAAGATCAGATTTCCTGTGTATCTGCAAAGCACGTGAACAAACTGTGGGATCGTTTGTTCAGATTGGTTCGTAAGAACGCAACCAGTCTATGTCAGATTACGTGTTTGGGTTCTCTCCTAATCGATTAGGTCTCTAACTATTTCATTTCTGCACTGCAGCATTCGATTTGTGGATTTGTATCATGTGCAGGATCCTTTCATCCATCGCTATCGGAAGCATGTTGTGCAACTTTTGATTTGGGCGACGAAGATAAGTACCTGTTCGATCACGAGTAGTAGTTTATTGATATTGCCGATAACTCCGGACCAGTTCATTTTTTCCAATTCTACCGGGTTGCGTCACCGTATGTTTTCCATCTATTTGTGGAAGGTCCGTTTAGGTTGCATCTGTTCGGATGCTGATGTGTATTTCCACACCTTGATAAATGTGCAAAGACCAGTTCCGACTGCCATAGTATCAATGCTATATGAAGGAAAGTGAACCTCACCTCAGCCATTGATGGAATAGTCAATAGCAAAACGCGGTAGAGTGATACTTTGAATCCGTGATCCGTTGGGGGACTAGTGCCCCCTCAGTTAAATTGACACAGCCCTTGTTGCTCAGTCGTACCGAAGAAGTTCGTGTGGCTCATTATCACGGACACTCAAGTAAACTGGCACGTTTTCCTTCGATTTTCCATTTTTCTACGTTAGTGTGAATAAAGTGAATTAATGTCAGTAAACTTGCGACTCGTGTCCAATCCTCCTCAGTTTTGTACGCACAAAATTCACTCTAACCGAAGTGTTAGAACGGGAAAAACCGCCAGCTGTGGAGCCTCATTATTTGTGGGGTAGCCGTTCCTTGAACACGTGCTATGAGACTATCTTCCGATTGTATCGCGGATTTGTTGGCTCTCCTCATTTCGGCGCAATATGTCGATTGTTGGGCTACAAAGGACTGTACATTGTCATCACGGAAGTGATGAAAGTAGCTCAGTCATTGGTGAGTCCTGATAATCTCTTTTGTTTGCGTTCTATGCATTTCTGTTGTAGTGGTGCTGGTGCTTCGGTTGCTGTCACTAGCGTTCGTCGGGTTTAATGGTCCACAAAGCTTCAACCTTCTAATGCAATGATAGATAGCTTCACTTTCTCTCCTTGAATTGCCTAACCGCTATCTGATGTGGTTTGTCGTGGTGGGTCGTTCAGCTTAACTTTCACGTTCCCGTAATTGTGATTATTCAACACAGAAAGGTGTGTAGCGAAATGGGCCGCGATTTGTGAGCTCCACTTTCTAATTGACCAAAAAGAGACTTTAGTCGAAACATTCACAAATAACTTGATTTTCCCAATCGATATTCACATAATTGGGGATGTAGGACAGTAAATTAGAAAATTAAGACAACCCAATATGCAGCAGTAATGCCAAGATACAAACACAGCTGATCTGATATATAACCGTGTCGGAAAATTCTGGTTCCATTTCATTCGGTAATCAACTTCGTTGTCTTCGGTCAACGCATTTGGTGTGAATGAACGAAGTCCAAGTTAGTGAAGAAATTGACGAACGCACTGTTCACAACGTTTACGCACCTCTTCCTCGTCTATACATTCGTTTCACATTTCCTTAAAATTTATTTCGCACTCTCACCTTAGTGTTTATTTAGCAACGATTAAGGTGGAATCAGGATCGCTATGAAGTTTTGCTACCAACCTCCCGATTACCAACTCATTCTTTTATAACATCGAAATTATGGTTAGTGCTACCGTACCGGCAAAATAGATTGTATACTTGTTATCCATTCTTGTGTAGTTGTTGAAAGAATATCAGGTATTTACTCCCGTCTGAATAGCAGAATTTTGTTAGTGCTGTTCAACTTACCATACATACATACATACATACATACGGCAACTCAGCCCACATTTTCCACTGTGGTCTTACTACTTAGAATGTTGTGAGTAGCCGAATACAGAATTTCACTTTCCTGAAAACGTAACAGCTGAATCAAACACTCCGGGACTATGTCCGTCGTCTGGTCAGGGCCATGCCACAGACACTGAAAATGCCATCTACTGCCAAAGGGTCAGATGCC